TCATCGTCCTCGTCCTCGTCCTCGTTATCGTCGTAGCGATGCTACTAATCGAGGAAGCAAGACTGCTGACAATAGATACAACTCCGGATGGTAGCAACAGCGATGAATATGCATGCTCATGATGACACGGACGATTACTCGAAATATGAGGCACCCGCCAGAGCACTTCCGGCTGAAGCTAGCTGTGCAGGCTACACTTCTCCCTTCAATTCGGCTCCTGCTCTAATTGCCGAGGGCGTCCGCACCATGGGCTTCACCACCACGGGCCGGTGCCCCGCAGGGGGGCCTGACCGGTCAGCCCCTGCAGACCAGGTAGCAGGCACGGCCCGCACGGTGGCCGGCCGGATGATCGGCGCCTGAAGGAGAAGGATTTCATCGTGGATCTCTTCGGAATACTGAATCAGCACCGGCACAGCAGTCTGAAGCCACCCCGTGGCCTTCAGAAACTGCTTCTGCACGGGCGCATAGTCCTTGCCACCCTTGGCCTTGCGTATCCATGTTAGATCATGTTAGGCACTTACAGAGCTCGTCGTTATCCAGCAGGCAGCATCCGAAGATGCAAACCCGCGAAATGAAGATTGGAACCAACTGCAGCGCATGTCGATCATCAAATGCATGACAGCGAGCTTGCCTACTAGCCCTGCTGCTGTTGCGAGTGCAATCTCTCATCCTTCAGCCACCATCCCGGGGAAACTTGGCACACCGCTTTGCCGCCACCCCAGCCCATCTCGCGCACAGGAGGCCTGCGGCATCAAACCCTAAACCCTAAACCCTGCAAAACGAGGCAGCAGTCCGAAGCGAAGCCGAGCCTGGCTGGGTCCACAAGCGGCCAGGGCTCCAGCCAGGGGCCCCTTCCGCTAAGTCAACTTGAGCCAATTCAAAAGGAAAGGACAGTAATAAAAAGATACTTCTTCGGTATACTACTAGAACATACTATCATCAGAATATATGATTACAATATACTATTGAAACATACGGGTTTTCATACGATTAGATTATACAATAATACTTTATTACTATAGTATACAGTACGACTATCTTATTCTAGCTTCAAGTCAAGGAAGCAAGGCCTCCTGAGGGATGCCTCTGCCGCCTCTGGCTACTCCGGCCTGCACCGGACCCAAGCCACTCATGCCCGAAACTCCTCATAGCCTGCTTTTGCTAGACACCTCTCTAGGTAAGTTTAGGGTTTAGGGTTTATCATACATTAAAGAATTTTCTGGTGGGGCCAAGTTAGCGAGGGAGCCCTAAAACCTGATAGAATCTTAGCCAGCCGCTGCTCCGACGGCGTCTGACCTCGGAGCCGGGAGGCTCCGGGGGTCGGGACGAAAAGCGGACGGGACTGCTGAAACACGACTCGGACATGCATACATTCATGTTCTTCCATCTCATTCCATTCCATTCCATCCCATCCATCCATGCAAACATAAAGAGAGGAACAAGGTTGCTGATGCAAACGTAAGTGCAAGAATCGACAACAAGAAGTGCAAACAACCTTGAAGCAGGACCAGCTGCTGGGAAGAGGAAGCCTAGACATCTGGCCCCTATGCTATGGCAACGGCTCCGGCCAGCCTGGGTGGGGAATAGCTCGCAGAACCCTCGATGGTGAAGCCCCCCTCCAACCGCCAGCAACCCACCCCCCCGCCCCCCAAAGCATCCCCAGGCTCACGTTGTGAGGTATTGAACGAAGCTCCCCTCTCCTCTCCGGGCTTTCGAGACTTCAGCCTGACGTAGTAGCAAAAGGCCGTGTTGGGTTTGGGACTTGGGCCGCCACGACAAGTCCGGACACTGAAACCGAATTCTTGGATTTTTTTCTGAGGTGGACACAGGCGTTCGCAGCAAGCATAGTGATAAGATCCTGGTCCTGAGAAGCCAGCAGGCTAATGGGGTAGGATTTCGGCTTCCGGCTGTTCAGGATGCAGTTGTTGAGTTGAGACTGGGCAGGATGAGTATGCAGTATGCTGGATGTCAAGGGTCTCTGCCAGCAGCTGGAAGGCATTCTTGCAAGAGTCCTTCCAAATCTCACTCCCCGAGTTCCCAAAGCCGTGACCGGTAGAAAAGCCCCCAAGCCCAAAGCAGGAGTTCAGATTAGGATGTGGATCTGGGTTTAAGTGTTTTTGGGGTTTGGGATTGGGGTGGCTTCGTGCGGCAGTCTTAGAACTGCCATGGCTTGTCTCCTGTAGATGTGCTGCGCCAGCCACGCTGAATGTTTTAGTGCGTCCGCCCTAGACGTACGTGTGTTGCCCCAGAAGAATGAGAATCCTCCTATATAAGGACTCTTCCTCAAGCCTCGGAGCCCTGCAGAGATGTTCAGTTCGAGGTGTCTGCTACGCCCAGGAGGCCCAGGCCGCGCAGGAGCCAGGCACGTTTACCAAGGCCTCGGCAGGAGGTGCTTAAGAACACTCGGGCACACGGCCCAGGGTGCTACGAGTACGAATCACCGGAACCAGGAACAAGACATCTTGCATCATCTTGCAGTGTCTTGCCTTGCCCACTTAGCCCTCGACCGCGACGGCGAGTTCAGAAAGTCGCAGCAAAGACAGCGCCATGGCTTCTCGGGAGGGAGTGTGGGGGGATGAGCTGCGCCGGGAGCTTTAGCACCCTGACTACTTGTAGTGGTCGTAGGTTTCAGCTCTTCACTGTTATAACCGGTGATGCAGGGATATCTCAGAACTGCAAGGGCGACCACACCAGGGACAAAAACAATCCATACAAACCAAGTAGTTGTCGCAGCGGCCCGCTTCCGTGGCTGATTGAAATTTCTGCATGGCATTGCGTCAGTGCCGGGATAAAAGTTAATGACCAAGATCAGGACCTAAATCATCACCGCACAGCTGAAGGAACAATCGTCATTTTTCGCGACAGCCGCCAATGACGAAAATCCTCGTCCCAAGTAGCTCTGTCGCAGACAGCAGGCTCGGCAACTACCAGACAGGGCTTTGCGATTGGGTTGTCTGAACCCAAACTGAGGTTCCCCTGAAAATTTCAAGTCTGGTTCCAAATAAACCTGAAAGTTACTGAGCCTTTCATCCTCATGCGGTGGACTGAATGGTGTCCCCCCGACCCTAGAAACTAAACTCAATTGAATAACAGAGAACCTAAACCCTAAACCCTAA